CTGAGCACTGTGTTACTGGAGGGGCCCATTCAATGCTACAGCCCCCTACCATGCTGCTAACAATGGGACTGTGTTACTTTTATGAGCTCCGTGAAAACTTGTTGTAGGTTACCCTTCATATAACAGGTATGATCTTAAGCCCTACATTTGACAAAAAGTGCATGGTGAGAGAGTCCTAGAGTTTTGGAGCTGACTAATGTTTTGAGTAGGTATGTGCTGTGGCACTTGAACTATTTTTAGAATGAGGGTGCTGAGCTGCACCTCTGCCTTATCTCTGTTCACCTCACTGCCTCAGGCTGTGGTCACACATAGAGTTACCAGCTCTCCTGAACCAGACGGAGTGTATGCCATTGCAAATGGCATCCTGTACATCTGAGCCTGGAGAGTTGGCAATCCTAGCCATAGCTAGAGGCAGCTGTGGAGCCATGGGCTGGTGACGGGATTCTGAGTGGCAGTGGAGACTTCCAGGGCTGGTGGCCTAGACCCCCAGGACAGCAGGCTGCAGAGCCTGCAGGGACAAGGGTGCTATTTTCTGAGGAACACAAGAATGGCCATATTGGGCCAGACTAAAGGTCCATCTGGTCCAGTATTTTATTTTTGGACAGTGGCCAATGCCAGATGCCACAGAGGGAGAGTACAGAACAGGGAATCATCAAGTAATCCCTCTCCTGTCACCCATTCCCAGCCTCTGACAGAGGCTAGGGACAACATTCCTACCCCTCCTGGCTAATAGCCATTGATGGACTTAACCCTCATGAATTTATCTAGTACTTTTTTGAACCCTGTTAAAGTCTTGGTCTTCACAACCTCCTGTGGCTAGGAGTTCCACGGGCCAACCGTGCACTTCATGAAGAAAAACTTCCTTTTGTTTGTTTTAAATGTGCTACCTATTAATTTCATTTGGTGACCCCTAGTTCTTTACCTATGGGAACATGAGAGGGACTACAGCCATGCATATTGGGACACTGCTTGCTCTTTTTCACCCTCCCCATCAGGGAGCAAGAGGAAAGTATATAGCTTGTGTGAATTACTTCTCTGTTCCCTGCTCTCACCAGCTAGGCGTGACAGGAATGCACACAAGTTGTGTACTTTCCTCTCACTCCCCAGTAGTCAGGGGAAAGGGAAATTGAGCAAACAGCATCCCAGTAAGTGTGGCTCCAGTTCACCCTACCCTCCCAAAATAGTGCACTTGCCGGAGACAGTGGGTGATAGGACCCCAAGAGGGATAGCGGGGCTGGCAGGACCCAGAACTGGTAGAACTAGTGGTGGGTTGACAATAAGGCTGGCCCTTGGGTGCAGGGAAGCCAGATGGAAAACCTGAGGACACTGCAGCATGCCTCACACACCTATTTCCTATTTTGTATGTGTGTGAAAATATGCAGAAAGATACAGACAAGAACAGAGAAAGTGGCAGAGACAAAAACCAAAGAAGTCTAGGAGTAGTAAAGGAACACATTATTGACTGCACTGGAGACAATTTCTTGTTTCAGAAGGTTGAGAAAGCTCCCGGAGGAAGCTGTTCTAAATTTGATTTTAACAAATGGAGGAACTGGTTGAAAATTTGAAAGTGGAAGGCAGCTTGGATGAAAGTAATCATGAAGTCATAGAGTTCATGATTCTAAGAAATGGTAGAAGGGAGAACAGCAAAATAAAGACAATGGATTTCAGGTGGGGATGTAATAGTATAGTCAATTAACTGATGAACTGATAAGCAAAAGCTTATAGGTTAATGTTATAAACTACACGCATTTCCCTCCCTCCCCTCCTCTCCCTGCCAGTAAATTTTTTAGTGGGCTGGCCAACAGCTTGGCTCAGTCCTGGCTTGTGACATGTCCAAGACCTATCCTTGCTGCAGCTCTGCATTTAAAGTGTTTTAGGAGCTGGGTAGGGACCTATCCCCATTTCAGCTCTGCTCTTCAAGAGTATTAAGAGCCAGTCAGGTGGGCAGGCAACCCAGCTCAGTTCTGGCTTGTGCCGGGTCTGGGAACTCAGACTTCCCCTAGACAGAGACTGCTGCCACCCCGCGCTGCTGCCTCTTTCTCAGACGCAGTAGCACAGTGTGACAGGCAGCTGGTTTGCAAGGGGAGCTGGTTTTTAAACTGGCTCCCCTCGCGGACCAGCTGCCACCTGGCACCCCACACTGCTCGTCTGATACAGTGGCTGCTGGCCCCGCCCCTAGGGACTATAGACTAGTCGACTAACCGATAAAATTTCATCAGGTTACTCGACTATTCAGTTAACTGATATTTAACATCCCTAGGACAAATGCAAAGTACTCCACTTAGGAAAGAGTATTTGGGAAGCGACTGTCTAGGAAGGAGTACTGCAGAAAGAGATCTAGGGGTCATAATGGACCACAAGCGAAATATAAGTCAGCAACGTGACACTTGCAAAAAAAAGCAAACATGATTCAGGGATACATTAACAGGAGTGTTATTAGCAAGACATGAGAAGTCATTCTTCCACTCTAGTCTGCACTTATTAGGCCTCAGTTTTAGTATTGTGTCCAGTTCTGGGTACCAAATTTCAAGAAAGATGTGGAAAAATTGGAGAACGTCTAGAGAAGAGCAACAAAAATGATTAAAGGTCTAGAGAACATGACCTATGAGAGAAGACTGAAAGAATTGGGCTTGTTTAGTTTAGAAAAGAGAAGACCGAGCGGGGACATGATATCAGTTTTCAAGTATCTAAAAGGATGTTACAAGAAGGAGGGAGAAAAATTGTTCTCCTTGACCTCCGATGACAGGACAAGAAGCAGTGGGCTTAAACTGCAGTAAGGGAGTGGTTAAACACTGGAATAAATTGCATAGGAAGGTTGTGGAATCTCCATTGCTGGAGGTATTTAGGAGCAGGTTGGATAGACATCTATGAGGAATGATTTAGATCAGGGGTCAGCAACCCACGACACATGTGCCATAAACAGCATTCAAGCTGATTTTCAGTGGCACGCACAGTGGGAGCTCAGCCCCTCCCCTTCTCCCCTGTGCTGCTGCTGGAGCCCTTTCTCCTCCCTGGCAGTAGGTTAGGATGCGGTAGGAGGAGGCAGCACTGGGGCTGAGGCTCCAGGGCCCACCCGAGACTGCATGGCTGTGTTAGTGGTGTCTCTGGCTTCTGGGGCACCTCTGGTCGCCTGGGACCACGTGGCTGCAGCAATTGCTGCAAGGGGTTGCAAAGCCAGGTAAGCATCCCTTCTCATGCCCAGACCTCCACACCTCAATCCCCCTCTTTCTCTCTCCTCCCCCTGCCAAGACCCCGCATCCCCAGCTTGCTCTGACACCCTCCCTTGTTCCTGCATCCTCCCTTGCTCCTGCTCCCTCCACCTGGACAGATACCCTACGGCCAGCCTGCATTTGCAGCCTACCTCCCACCCAGAACTTGCAACCTATCCCCCTTCTGTACCCCAACTCCCTCTCAGATCCTGCATCCCTTCCCTATTCCACTCAGTGGTAGTCCTATCTTGCACACTGAACCTCTAGTTTTTGTCCCTACTCCAGAGCCTAAAGGGATCCATAAAATCCAGTAACTCCAGAATCCCAAAAAAGTAAATCTGGCCTATGGGAAACCCTCAACCTTAGTCCTCCCTGTCCCTTTCCCTTACCCTGTGAGGCTGGAGTGTCAAAGGAGTGAGGCATCTCAGTTAGGGGCCACATCAGTGAGGTATGGGGGTTTTTGGAGGAGTTTTTTTGCTTCTCACATGTGTGGTCCCCACTTGATTTTTCTGTGGGTCTGTGGCCCCTGACCCAAAAAAGGTTGCCCGCCTCTGCCATAAATAAAATGTTGAAATTTTTTGTGTTGGACATAAATTAGTATTTTACCTTATTTAAAATGAAGTTTGATAAACTAACATGAAAAAGTTAAAACACTTTGTCTGATAAATAATTTAAATTAAACTGTTCTCTCTAGCTGCAGCTGGTTCAGAAAATATGGCCACTGTACCCAGCCTGACCCTTCCTCCTTCTCTCCCTGGCACGCAGATCCGTAAATAGAAGTGAATATGTTAAATCTTGCCTCACCACTTTTGAAAGGTTGACGACCTCTGATTTAGATGATGCTTGGTCCTGCCGTGAAGACCTGGACTTGAAGACCTCTCTCAGTCCCTTCAGGCATGTCTACACAGCAGGGCTAAAGAAAAAATAAGCTATGCAACTTGAGTTACGTCAGTTGTGTAGCTTAAGTTGAAATAGCTTATTTTGGCTTTTGGCACTGTCTGCACAGCAGGAAGTCTGAGGAAGAGCACTCTTCCTCCAACTTTCCTTACTCCTCGTAAAATGAGGGTTACAGGAGTCGGAATAAGAAGTCCTCCAGCTTGACATTATGACTACATAACTGCTTGTAATATAGACACGGACTATGTTATTTCAGAATAATGTCAGTTATTCTGAAATAACAGTGCTATGTAGACATACCCTTCCAGTTTTAGTATTCTATGAATCTATAACCCTGAAAAACCTACAGAGCGCATTTTGGGCCTGTTGACTAAAGAGGCTTAGGGTGTAATCCAAGAAACATCTGCTTTATTCTTTGTTCTTTATTTCTTCTGTGTTCAGAGACACAGGACTTTGTACATTCTTTGTAAATAAATTAAACTGCATCAAATAAAATATTAAACTCCATCTACTTTCAACTAAAAACTTGACTTAGATACTCATGTCAAAGGGGCACCTGAATATAAAACAGATGAGTTCTGCCTGGACTTGCATGATATATTCTGTAGCACAGCAGGCACATCCTGTGCAATAGGAAAGCAGTGCTTCTGGTGATTAAAGCACTATTCTATATTCTGCCATCATTTGTCACACTACAATGCTCCTAAAGCTGCTCTAACAAGAAGCACATTTAATCACATAAAACTGTGACTTATATTTTGACATAAGTATTTAAAATTAAAATGGCCATTTCTCTGAAAAATGTCTCATTTGTCTTACTGGGAATTTAGAGCCTGTTGTCAGGAACCAAAACTAATATCTCTTTAGGATTAGAAAAATAAAGAGATGGTCTAAGTATTTTAGCAATGTTTAATTTCATAATATTAAAAAGTAGGAGATAGTTCTGATGTTTCTAGGGTAATTTTTTCTTCTACGGCTTCTCCAATTGTATCTTATCTTCAGACTGCCTTGTTTTGGGTTCTGTAATTCTTTCTTGTTGATAAGGCCTTTTGAAATACTACTTGCAACAGATTACTCCAGATTTACTACCATGCTTTAGATTTCCTACAAAGAAACAGGATGAGCATGAGGAAAATAAAGCCCAGGAAAGCAGGGAATTGAGAGAGAGAGAGAGAACACATATAAAGACATATACACACAATTCCTGGCAATGACTATTTTCTGTACCACCTCTTAGGAGGTCACAGCACCAATATTACCAGAATCACTACTTTTGTATTTCATAGCAGGGTGTTCCTAAAACTATTTCCCCCTCACTTGCTCCCACAAGGCGCTTCTCAGCTATTAACCTCACACCAGAATTAATTGAGGCTCTCTCTCTGTGGAACAGCTGAGAGATGTAATGTGCATACCTGGCACCAGTTGACACCCCCTGCAGGCTTGCCCAATATTAGGGTGCTGTCACATTTTTTAGCTGTTAAGCAGTGTTTGAAGGTCATTTCTGTTCCTGCTAAAAGCTGACCAGTAGATTGAGAGATGAGCACCATAGCTGGCCCAGGATGAGGGGACATTTCCTCAGCCTGGGAGTGGCCTTGGGCAGGAGAAATGTAGGAATCATAGAACAAAAGAAATGAAGAGGAGCAGGGAAGGTAAGAAGAAGGGAAAATGGAAGAGGGGTTAACATAGAAAAATGTTTGGAGGATAGAACATGGAGGGGGATTGAAGAGAAGGGAAGAGAAAGAATATTAAAGGATAAATATTTATAGAAGGAAAGCAGGGAAGGAAATATTAATTAGAGGGAAAGCTAAAAAACTGTATATTACTGAGGAAGAGAGGTAATTAGACACAGGAGGAAAAATGATGGTGTAAAAGAAGAGAAGGGAAAGAACCAAGGAAGATAAAGTCAATCATTCTTTATTGTTTATTAAAAGTTTATGCAAAAAACATTCCCACAATCTATCTCTATGTATCTGTATCTATATTGCTGTATAAATTATTAGTATTATATATCAGGAAAAGGAGACATGACTGTTGAGGAAAATCTGATTGTGAAGAGGCAAGTGAACCTGTGGGCCCTATGTCTTACTATATGTTTTAAAAATGTGTGTCTGAGAGTCCATTTGTTCAAGAATTCCTCCTAAACAATAAGAGTTAGGACCATCAAATATGATATGCCACTTCCTTTTGTCATTACTTAAAGCAAAGTGAGATTTAGTGTGCCAGGACAATGGGATGTGCCTCAATCCGATTGTTTTCCATACATGCAAAGGGAAGAGTCTGATAGCAGGGACAGTTATGCTCCACAATGACCACGGGGGGACAGCAAGCATGGGAGATAGTTATACTGCAGAGTGACTACAGATGGACGGCTGCACCAGTAAGAGAATGGCCATCTGGGGCTAGGACTCTGCATGTGGCAGGCTATCAGCCTGGGTAAGTGACCTCCCTCTAATCCAAAGATACAGGCCGAACCCCTTCCCCATGCCTTTGACCCCACCGCTGGACCCAGAGGGCCGAGAGACCCCTACTGCCCAGTGGCCTTGCCGCCTAGCAGCTCTCTTGGGGACCAGCCACTGGCTAGGGTCTGGCAGCCCAGCCTCTGCCGTTGCATCCCCCATACCCCGCAGGAGAAGCTGCCTGCAGGGCAGCGCAGCCCTGGACAAACCAGGAAGCAGCCACTGGCCAGGGCCAGGCAGTGTAGCTCCCAGCACCATGCTCCCCCCCGCAGAGGAGTTGCTGGCAGAGCAGTATATCCTAGGGATTTTAGCATGTAATTGAGTAGTCGTGTGACTACATAAAATTTTAGTGATTACAGAGCAAAACGGCTTCTCACACAGACTGGCTCCCACCTGTCATCTCACATTGCTGCCTATTAATACAGAGGCAGCAATGCAGGCTGAAAGGAGCTCCTGACCATGGCAGGGTCTGAGCTCCAAGGTGGGTCCTCTGTAGGAGGCAACGGGGGGGGGAGGGGGGGGAGGGGGCAGCAGTGGGCAGGCAAATCTGTGGAGCCAGAACATGTGGAAAGCCATCTTAAAAGCCACATATCAACTCCCTCACCCTCCATGATGCTGCCTCTCTATCCAAATCTGATCATAGAATCATAGAACTGGAAGAGACCTCAGAAGGTCATCAAGTCCAGCCCCCTGCTCTAGGCAGGACCAATTCCAACTAAATGATGCTGATGTGGTGCAGATCTGGTGCTGATACAGAGGTATCAGAGAGGGGGAAAGTGTGTAGTCGTCTACTCGTTGCCATCACTAGAATATCTCTAGCTCCCCCACTCCCTGGGATTGTGCTGCCAGCAGGGCAGTGCGGCCCAGGCTGGCCTTGGGGCTTCCCTGAGCCCCCTAACAACTCTCCACCTCCTAGCCTGAGTCCCTCAACCTCTGCCCTGAGCCTCTACCTCCTACCCTGAGACCCCTATAGCTCCCACCCCCCTGCCCTAAGTTCTCCTGCTGATACACATGTGCCCATACTCCTTGCCTCAAATTGGCTTGAATGGCTATTGGGTGAGAAGGGGAAAATAAAATCATAGATGAGACAATCACAAAGATTCATATAAATAATCATGGGCAGAGACATTCATCAAGACACCTAGCCAGCCAGGATAGACAGGAATTAGCTCACTAAATGGGCGACGGAAAGAGATGTGTGCAGGAAGACAATCTTTTGAGATTATTATAATTTTTTAAAAATTAATTGTGTATAATAAAACACAATAAGATTCTGAGAGCCAGAATCAAACAAAAAGCCAGATAGAAAGAGGTGGACATAAAACATGCAGAGGGATTTCCACTCATTCCAGCTTTTGTGGCTTGGCTGGAGGAAGTAGTTAATGAATGTGGATCACAGAAACTCATGTTCAAATCTTTGCTTTGCTAGGATGCAGGATTCTCACCCAGAAAATTCAGCCATGGGTAGAGGAATTCAATAATATAGCTCCCATTTGGCAGGCAAAGAGAGCACCACTTAGTCATTGAAAATATAGAGGAAAATATTAATGCAGGGAATCGTGCAGGAGTAAACACTATGGGCATGTCTACACTAGGTAATTATTTCAAAATAACTCCTGAAATAACTATTTCAAAGTAAGCTTATTCCCCATGGAAAGCAGGAGTTATTATTTCAAAATAACCTGATCCTTATGTCGAAATAACGGGCTTGGTAGTGTGGATGCTCTGCTTCTTATTTCGAAATAAGTTATTTTGAAATAACTCCCTAGTATAGACCAGGGCTTAGAGACAGCTTATTCTTCAAGTGCCAGATTCTTCCAGATTGAGGCATTATTGGGAAGGGTGTAGAAGTTCAGGCTGTCAGCAAGTGACTAGACACCCAATTTCAATCTGCATGAGACACTTTATGCAGTGGTCTCCAGCCTTTTTAAGCATGAGATCACTTTTTGAATTTAAGTGCAATCCAGGATCTACCTCAAACCCAAAACACCCTCCTTTCCCCCCTTCTCCAAGGCCCCACCCCTGCTCACTCCATCCTCCTTTCCCCATCCTCACTCACTTTTATCAGGTCGGGGGAAGGACTTTGGAGTGCAGAAGGGGTTCAGAATGTGGGATCCAACTGGGCATTGCTTACCACAGGTGGCTTCTGGGTGGTGGTGCAGGAGGCTCAGGCAGGCTCCCCTACCCTGGCCCTGCACCATTTCTAAAAGCAGCCAGCAGACTCTCTCCATCCCTGCCCCCCTCTGCTCTGTGGAGATGGGGTACAGGACAGAGGGAGCTACACCCTGACATCAGCTCCCTCCTTCCTGTTCTTTCCATGCCCTGCACAGCAGGGCATGGAAGGGTGAGGGGTTGGGGGGCAGCAGGCACCAGGGGAGTTCATGGAGCAAGGGGAGGAGACATGGCAGCAGAGGGAAAGGTAGAGGTTTATGAGATATTTATTAATAACTTGGGTGCCACAATGGCACATCCAAACAAGCCACATGAATTGGGTACTGGTGCACAACACAAAATTCATTCTGCTCATGGGAGGAAACTCTTAGAGGGAACACTCCCCCTCTTCCCCCCAGCCTCTCCACCCCCGCATTAATGTCACACACATTGGATTAATGCAATTGCAGGATAGATGCATGGAGGATGTTGGTGGGGGCCAAACTAATCCCTATTGGTAGGAGGATGGTGGGAAAAGTCCTTGGGTAGGGGGTCGCATAACACTTTACTTTTGATCATGTGCCCATCTTGCCCAGAGAGATTTACATCCAGCAGCAAGGCTAATGGGGGCCAGGGGCATGGTTAACAGGTGTCAGGGGTATGGCTAATGGGTGGGGGGGGGGTGTCAAAGTGCATTTAAAAAAATTCTTTGGGTGCACACCCAAATGAAATGTGCTGTGCATGCCTATGGCTATTGTGTAGAAATGCTAGCTGTAAGGACTCCCAGCTACTGTATTTTCAACCTCTCCTGTGCACAGTCATTGTGGGAAAAAGTGTAAGAACTCCGTTTGTGGGGATGGGGAGGGGAATAAATAGGAAAACATTTAATTCATACCTGAAGCCTGCAAATTGTTTTCTGTTTTGTTCTCTGCTATCGTATCCCTGAAAACAGAAAGTTTAGAACAAATGTTTCTGTTTTGTCACAAACACAAGAGAATTACATAATATGTTTTGTTATTTTAAACTCTTTCTGCTAGCAATTGAAACATGCTTTGGTAATAGTGCTGCCCTTGAAATGCAGCTATGAATATACAGGAAATTTAGATGCTGTGGACTGCACTTTACATAACATGCACCTAAACTACTTAATGCTGTTAATGTGCTGAAAAGCAACTACATAAAAATCTCCTCACTTGATACATAGGTTGAGGTTGTCAAAGTAATTTTCACCACTTTCAGGAGTGGCAAGAATCTACTTCTTTCCTATATCCCCCTGGATAAATATATATCTCAAAGTGGGGGTATGGAGGAAGTGGGGTTCCGACACCAGATCACAGAGCTGGCTAAGCACAGAGAGGAAGCAGGCTACACCTGTCTAGAATGGTGCATCTAGTCTAATAGGATTCCCTTATTTACTGGACAGGTACAATCTCTCTTAGTATTGACACCAAACTGCCTGCCCTCAACACAGGTTTGAGTCTTAAAACCACAATCTGGTCCATAGTACAGGCAGTCCCCAGGTTACGTACAAGATAGGGACTGTAGGTTTGTTCTTAAGTTGAATCTGTATGTAAGTCGGAACTGGCGTCCAGATTCAGCCGCTGCTGAAACTGACCG